GTGAAATTTAGTGTTTCAGTTTAATGTTACAATATTCTCTCGTTCCTGTACAATACAGAATTTAATAATGTATAAATCATGTCTTCCTAAAATGTAGGGAATATAATACTCATAGACGCAAACAATTTAGATCACGTTTGATTAATAATGTTACGGATTGTTATTATAAAAAAGATTGTTATCGGAACATGTGTTACATAGCTGAAGCCTGCAATATATATTCAAAATGTTGCAGATGTCACTAACAAGAACTGTTAACAATTTCATTGATAAGATGTATTACTATACAACATTTTGAGACTATACATTCTATACTTTTGTTATTTACATTTCATAACGATCTGTAAATTTCACGAACCTTATCTTCAAACGACCGACGCATTCATTCTTAATATCCACATGAATTCACTTAAAACATACGATTTATGATAAACTATATACAAATATCATTTTCATTCTTTATAGAAATTTATCCACAAAATATGTACGATAAATAATACATATCTGTACAATGAAGGGTGTATCGTTAATAAAACAAAAAAGGGGGGGAGCTTTAAACATTGTATTAGACAAAAAAAGGCATCCAAAATCAACAACACAAAAATATTTTCTGCACGATTAGAGCTAGAATAAATAATATGTCATTTATAGCATGAAATGATGACCGTTGCAAATGATTTAGATCAATTTTATCAATGGGAAATGTTGATGATACGAGAAGTCAAATACTGGAGGTTCTTTGGAATCCTTTTTATGCCCATCAGCGAGTAACTTTAGAACCACGAAATTCGTTTTCGCCACTTTTAATAAATCATTGATCTGTAAATCAAGCGCTATAATGAGTAAAATATGTTTAATACAAACATAGGAATCGAAAGGTTTAAAAATATTTACCTCATTTAGAGTACTAGAATTTTGTGGATAAAAAGACAAAGCTCGTTCTAACATATTTCTAGCTTGATGAAAATGACGACAACCGGCTAAGTACAGCATTTCACTAGTAACCTTTTCCTAGGAAAATAAAAGTTAAGAAAAAGTGCTCCATGCTAGTTAAAATCAAGAAGAATAGGCCACTATACTCACGTTTCTTTTATGCATCTGTGCATTCGTCATATCTAAGAATTCTTGATAATGTACCGGAGGTGGAGTGAGTAACGAAGAAAATGGTAATAACCTGTGCTCATATCGTACTCGTTCTGAATCAAATGGCGACTCAGGAAGTGGTATTTTACCATCCATACGGAAACCAACTAAAGCCTATAAAACAAATTTTATAGATGTAATTAAATCATGAAGATAACATTTTATAAAAAAATCAGACATACGCAACTTACTTTGTAATATCCTCCACATATATTTTGCATCGCTTGATACATTAATATTTCTAAATTATACGGTCTTGATGTTGATTTTTTCTTCTTGTTCTTCGCACTTTTCTTACCACCTCTACCTTTATGTGTATCATTATGTACATCATGTTCCATCAAGAACGTATTGGCTCTTGTAATAGCCGATACTAGCCATCCATAAAGAAATTCATATAGATACCAAAATATATAGTGATATTCATGCACCGAATATAATTCCAATTCAAAGCCACTTAATAAATACATGACCATAACTCGTAGTGTATGATACAAGATCCATGTTCCGAAACAAGCTAAATGTGACCTTGGTGTATCACTTTTCATTGACAAGGCATGTAAAAATCCATCAACTCTTTCAGCCTGGCAAAATTTCAAACATACATTAGTTTGAAGTTATGAAATATTCCAATGTTATGAAATATAAATTAGCTTTTAAACTCACTTCATCCTGTAATATTGCAAAATCATCCAATAAATGTGCTAATTTGTCTCTCTGTCTTGCTCTATTATGGCCAGTAAGTTGCAACAAACTACCAAAGAGGCCCACACAATGAGATAAAAAACTATCAACATATTCCTTAGCTTGATGATTTTGAAGTAACGTGCTCTTTGGCATTAGTACCGGAGGTGCTATGAAATTCCGCGCTGCATCTTTCAAAACATCGGCAAAATTTTGCACACCGAATACTCGATTTGTTGTAGGTAAATAAACTATTTGCAACATTGATCTCGATAATATACATGGACTTCGTCGTGAAAATTCTAAAAAAAAGTCCTAAAAAGAAATCAGTGTACTTGGAATTTATGCCAAAAATTTTTAGTAACCTATAGATTTTGTCTTACCAAAGCTGCATGAAAACCATTCTGATTAGTAATCGTAGTAACTGTTCGAAATCTGTTTAATAGCTCATCCAAATATTTTAAAGCCTCTAGTCTTGGCTTTATTTTTGTATACCGTGGAAATGTTGGTGGTAATAATCTTTGATTCACCATAGGGTCAAACCCCATAATATTTGGATAATTTGCTACAATCATTACATAATACATGATGTAAACGATACACTATGACGTAAACTATAAATTTTGAAAAACTTACATATTTCATCAGCTTTTTCTCCACTGTTTACTGTTTTAATCATCATTTGAATCATATAAGAACATCTTGATAACAATGTATGACAATCGTTTAAATTTTGTTGCAACTGTTCTTTCTTTCCCATTAATGATAAAATTTGATAAAATATTTTTGTAAATCTAATTCTGGCATAGAGTGCTAATCTATCACCATACTGAAAGAAATAATAACAATTTCAATAATTAGTTATATCCTTAGTCGTTCACAAAAGTTCAATAAATGTATCTTGTGTTCCAAAACATGCACCTACTTCTTTCTCTGATACTATATGAATTGGTTTTATTCTTTTCCCAGGTAGTTCATCTTCTACTTCTCTCAGCATGGATATGATTTTTTGTTCTGTAATATCCTGTTGCAATCTATAACCATAAGTAACACTCTGGAAATCTTCTTCCTCAAAAACTAATGCTTTATTGATGCAATCTTTAATTATTTCAATTATTTTATATACAGCATAACAAAAGGTTCTCAAAGGTTTATCCACTATTTGACTCGGTTGGTGAAGATATAAATTAGTGAAAACTGTTTGCGCTAAACTATGGCCTTCAAGCCAAGACACTATGCACGCATATGTTGAATCTATTATTCCTATAACTTCTGATGGTGTCAAATTGTCCAATTTCAATGCACCAGAGTCAACAGCCTGTGTAAAAGTGCATGGTTTGTTGTTGCCTCTATTACATAGCATGCCAACATCCATTTTTGGATCCATCATTTCAATTGCAGACATGGCCTCAAATAATCCAAATAACTCATCACGCAATAGTTCACCCAATTCCAACTCTAAATAAACATAACAATAAAGTGTTTTGTATTGTATTAAATAAATATTTTGTATATAAAATATTGTTTCGATTAATTCATATCATTAATCATTATAAATTAATTTCCCATTAAATAGTGATACTTAAATGCTAACAATGTTATTGGATAAAATTACATGATTATTTGAACAAAACAAGTTGTATACAAATGAAAACTAAATTGTCTCTACCATAATAAAACAAAAAAATATGAGGGGAGAAAAAGAAATAAAAAAGAACTTGTAAAGCAAGCACTTGCAAAGGAGAAAATAAGTTTGTAAATAAGCACCTGTAATGGCATCGAAAAATTCTTGGGTAATATCCACCCAATTGTAAGTAACTTGGTCGAATCTGCAATGTAAATAGATATAAAAATTAAAAAATATCGCCGAGAATTACAAATAATGTTATACGTTAGGTTATTTTCCCAAAGCCTAGCTGTAAACGTAACATTCTTATTTTAATATTTCCATGTAATTACACGTTAGTTATCGGTGATTTTTCTATTACAATTAATATATCACAACTCACTGTGATTCTTTATCTTCGCCCATGTCAACCGAATTCTGTTCTTCTACCATGGTCGCCATTCTTGCAGACTGACCTGTCACATTTAACGGCACTGCCAACAGTAGAAGCTTCTACATAATCCTCGTATCAAAAGTTAACCCCTGAGAAGCTCCCCTTACGTCAAACAGGAGTTATATACTCACAAAGTCTTGAAATTATTGAATAAGTATAAAATCTCCTATATTGTTTTATATTTATCAGATGAAATGTATTTAGACAAATCATGTGTAGATATACAATGAAAATATATATTCAGATAAAATGATTTTAAGAACGTTTATATTCAAGCATTTGAATTTATGACAATTTCAGGTATCCAAAACATACTGTAAACTAAAGAGCAATCCACGGAATTAAGCGTTAATGTTTTGTCTTGTTTTATGTTTAGTAATTTTATTTCAGATTTCAAATGGATGATAAAGTATGGAAGAATAAAGTCTCGCTATATTTTGAAAATATTCTCTGTCACTATCAAAATTTATTTGAATACTAATGTTATTTTCAGGAACTTTTAAACAAACTGAAAATATTCCGTCAAATAGGATTCGAATTACAAAAATTGTATAACGTGTTACGATTAATGACGATTGATTTGAAAAAAATTATAGATTATTTCACTTCGTTAAATTATAATTAATTTTTTATTCTTATTAACGGGGTTAGATTAATGATATTTATTAACACTTTGGTAAAGTACATAAATTTAATAATATATCTTCTAGGTGAGTGAGTTAAAGCATTTTTGAATATAAGTATTTGATCTCTGTGTATATATTTAAATAAATCTGCAAAATGGAAAAACATATAATGAAATTGGTACATTAGGTAGGTGTTATGAATTAAATGTTCTACAATTTAATTAATCATAAATTGTTATAGGTTATAATAAATCAGGATAACTTTAATCTCTTTATGTAAGTAGTTTATTACTATTGTCGTTTGTAACATGAAAATATTATAATCCCTAGGACGATACATTTTCTGAATGAAAATTTTAGTTTTACATAGGAATTATCCTTAACGATTCCTTTGCACTCTTTCCAGGTGTTTTATATATATATATATATATATATATGTGTATATATATATATCATTGTCAGCATAGCGTAACCGTGCATTTTCTGCTGCATTATACAGAATACATATTCTAGTCATACACACATATATATTCACCTGTATACATATATATTATGTTAAATATCTATGTATCTTCGCTTATGGGTCAGCATTGGCTCGATTCCAAGAATATTTTACAAATTTGGAGCTGTTCGAAGTCTGCTCAATAAAAAAAAAGAAAAAAAATTGCATGAATCTCTTACGTTTGATCGGTTTTATCTTTGACGAGAACTTATTAAAATTTGGACATAATGGGGATTATATTATCAAGATTTCGCGTAAGTCTCCGGTAGTATGTAAATAACATTAATACTGTATTACGGAGGTTAACATTTTGTCATGTTATAAATCATTTACTAAGCATTCAAAAATAATTTAGATATAATATTTTATAACAAATGCTTAAACTTTTAACGCATAATGTATTATGTTTTATAATATTTAAATGTAATTAATTCAAACACATTTCTTTATATATGACAAATTTTTAGGTTAGGCGCGAAAATAAGGAAGTTTTGAATAAGTTTGCTAAAGAATAACTTTATTATTATAATATATAACAATATAAATTCTTAAACATTTATAATTTATGATTTTTGTAGCTTAATGTCTATAACCATATTTGAATAAGATTTCCAATATTGAATAATTAATTAACATTGACTTTTAATATATGCAGAATTCTCGTACAATATAAAATTATTATTCAATGATATTACGTTCAAATTATTTAAATTTTGTCAAACCAAAAAGGCAGAAAGTAATATATACATACAAAGAAAAATACAAGAAAATAAAAATGTTTGAAAATACATACAAATGTTTGTAACTGCTTTGTCTTAAAAAATTGTATAAAGATACTTACCTATTTTATATTGTATAATAAAAATTATTATATAAAAATAAAGTATTATAACCTGAAACATAACATAAATTTCCATTTGAATTTGATAATTAAATTTCATTTTCTTTTAAAATATGTTAGTATGTAAATAAGTACATTGAGAGAAGAGAGAGAGAAAGAGAATATTATATATGGAAATACTTTTCCTTTTATTACAAATGTAATTGTGTTAAAACAAATTATTTTTATATTTCAGAGGAAGAAAACAACAATTGAAATTTTGGAGGATCTTGATGCGGTAAAATATTTATATTCTTTTACTTGTATTTATGTTGATAACTAGATAAGTAATCGAAAATTCTTTCTTTAACAGAAAATTAAAGAGATAGAAAGATATGGATATAGTACAGAACAAAGACATAAAAAGATTGTTGGAACTCTGATATTATACAGTGTGATACTTTATATTATAACAGCATTCATTTTTTACTTCTATTTCTTCCCTGCATCACTATATGATCAAATATTTTATATCATTCCACTGTTAATTTTTCCAATTCTGTAGGTATTTTAATTGTATTTATTTCCTTTACTAAATTATCCAAGAGGTATGACAAAATGTATCTCATTGTCGCAGAATATTGCTTACAAAAAAGATGGTAACCTGGTATTATAAATGTAAAATTTCTAAAAATCAAGATAGATTAAGTAGTATGCAATCTGAAAAAAAGAAAATTCTAGATGAAGTTACAGAGACTGAAACATATAAAAAAGCTAAAGAAATTCTGTTAAAGTTTGCACCTGATCAATTAAGAATGACTCCAGTAAGTAAATCTATAATATAATTTCTTTATTTTAGTTACATAATATAATCTTTACAAATTTTTAATAATTGAATTATTTTTACATCTTTCAGTTGTCCCCGCAGGTTTGTATTTTACACGATAAAATATATGAAGAATGAATTTTTGATAATTATGAGTATCTTTTTGGATAAGAAAGTACTAGAGAAACATTTGAATATATAGAATATAAAAAGTCTAGTAAAAGATTCTTTCATTTTAGACAACTTTTAAAGTGTCATCATCAACAGAAACTCCTAAACGATCAAGTACACCACAGCATATAATATCTCCAGTATCAGCTTCTACGGAACTGAGAAGACGTATAATAATAAATCAAAATCAACCACTGAATGTGCATAGTGGTATACCTGCTAACACTGGTCTTGTCCCAGTTGGCACAGCTCCCACTCAAAATCCATTAAATACTTCCTTCCAGGGTGGTATTAGACCAGTTAATACTCCAATTCGTGATTATCGTTAGTATTTTCAGGACTACGATTGCTAATTTTTATTTTTTTAATTTATTAAAAATTAATTTATTCAAGTAAAATTTTTTTTATTGAGGTTTTTTTGTTACTAGGAACTCCGTTACCACGTCCAGTATTACCGCGGCAAAGGACTTATTTGGATCGATTGATTGATTATCTTGTTGGAGATGGTCCATCGAATCGATATGCATTAGTGTGTCGAAATTGTGAGTCTCACAATGGGATGGCTCTCAAAGAGGAATTTGAATATTTCGGTAAACATTTGTCATAATCTGCCAAAAAGAGTTAAGTATATAGATTTAATTACGTTACTAAATATTCAAAATATATGTATTTTGATTTTGTAGGATTCAGATGTTGTTATTGCAACTTTTGGAATCGTGCAAGAAAACAGAAGCCATCTGCTCCGAAATTAACGTATAATGTTGCACATAGTAGTTCATCTTTAAATACTTCTGAATATGTAGCATCTGATCCAAATGTAGCAGAACATTTAAAACCTCCGCAAACGGAATCAATAAATGCATCGGATACAGGTTTGAATAAAAAGAAAGCTAATGTATAAACTGTTTTTATTGGATTGAAGAAATAATTGGAATCAATCGAAAATAATTTTTAGATTCAGATATCGAAGTCGTTGAACGACCAACAGAAGCATTGGAAAAGATTGAACATGTTACTGAACCAGTTAAAGATACATGTGGTAAGTAACGTTGTTGTTAATCATACTCATAATCTAATATATTTTTTGGTATTATAAATAATTACAATCACAGATGAACCAAACAATGCCGAGCCACACAATGCGGAATCGGACACTACGGAGTCCGAAACGAAAGAAGCACATAATTGTGACGAGAGTGATGAAAAAATGGATATCGACGAATCATCGTCTTAAAAAAATATATTTTGAAATAATTTATAACACGAAACTTTTTGTTATGAAACGTTATGTGTTAACAAAATATATTTTGAAATAATGTGCAACATGGAATTTTGTTAATCGTAAGATCTGCAAAAGGTCCACCCTAAGTCCATGCTTCATAATGAATCCTTACTATATAAGTAAAATATATACTTACTAAATAATCATGATATTGGGTTCTTTTGTAAATTTTTCTCTGAGATAAATCTTTCATAGTTACGTCAATCCAAATCTGCCATCTTTACTAGTGATGAATCTGAACTCTTAGGAATAAAAAAACAAACAAACAAAAAATAACCTGTAAAAAAGAAAGAAAAGCATAGATAATCTAAGAATATTTTTTCGAAAACTGATCGGCTATTTGTTGTCTTTACGCGGGAGGACAATTATAGGTATTTTATAATTTTCAATTAGTTCCGCGCTAGAAATGGGGTGCGCTAATGTCGCAACCTCTTGGCGCTTTTCTATGTGCTTAGTAGCAGCTGTTAGTAGTCGCTATGTTATATTCTTTTATGTCAAATAAAATTTTTAAATTATTAAATAAATGTAATTGTTTTAATTGTTTTGTTATAGTTGATTTCTTATTTATCAGAAACAATATATTTAGAAAAATAATATAGTAAATATACCATGAAAATAAGAATTATTTATTATTATCCAAATAAATTGGTTTTAAGAACACTTGCATTCAAACTTGTTTGAATTTGTGATAATTTCGGTTGATCAAAAAAAAAACATTGTGGAATGAATGCATAATATTAAGTTAATTTTTAAAATATTTTTCTTGTATCTATTTCTACAAACTTTCTTTTAAATGGATAATAAGGTATACAAAAGTAAAGTTTCATTGAATTTATGTAAATATTAATGCTTTACTTTCAGGAGTTCCTTAACGAACTGATAGCACTTCGACAAATGCAACTCGAACTCCAACAACTTTATACTTTGTTACGTTTAATGAGGATTGATTTGGAAAAGATTATAGGCAATTTTACTTCATTAAGTGGTAAGTATTTTTTGTTTTCATTCATTTTCGTTAAACTTTGTTAACACTTTGGTAAAGTACATAAACGGAAATGTCTGTTTTAGGTGAATGAGAAAAGGCATCTTCAAATACATTTATATATATTTGATTTCTGTCTATATATTTAAATAAGTCTGCAAAATGGGAAAGGAAATAATATTAGGAACATCATCGTCATCATCTCTGCGAAGAAAATCTTTTGTACTACAAAGTACATTATCACCCAAATTGGTAGAAAACAATGACGAAGCTGAAAGATTGGCTAGACGTCATGAATTAAATGCTTCTACAGCATCAGTAGAAAATTTAAGCACAAATAAAAAACGAAGATCTTTGGGTCTTGGTTTTCTAGCACATATGCCAACACATGAGATAAAGGATCGTATGGCTGAATGTATAAAACTTAATATTGAAAACAAGATTAGTGTGAAAAATGCATTTAGTCTTGAAATAATTGACTTCATGTCCTATATGATAAAAAAACAAGATGCCAACATATCTAATTTGCAAGCAGCTAGTACATCTTTAGATGTAAGCACAAAAATCTATGGTTTTCGTGTAGATGGAATTTATACTGAAATAATGAAAATAGTTAGTGGAATAGATAAGCAACAAAATGATAGCTCAATTGATGAAGTAAATGGAGAGCTAAATACCGAGCAAGGAGATCAAGTGAAAGATATACGAATACATAAGAAAAAGGGGAAAAAGAAAAACAAACAGAAGATTTTTAGTACGACAGATAGCTTAAAAGGAACTGTAGAAATTATGAAGCCTTCTTTGTGGATAATGGAAAATGAGGATTCACAAACTACAGATGCATTATATCAAGTAATGCTGTCAAATCATGCAAATTCAAACTATTCTTTACATTTATATCATGATGTTATTGTGGATGTTGTAGAACAAAAAGTAGACAAAAAAGACGCAAAAATAATTATTCCCCAGATGGAAGATTTTTCTAAATTAGAAATATGTCCACCTTTAACCAATTTTGAATTTCAAAATTGGATCAACGATATTGAGAAAGAAACAGGAGAAGAAGAAGAAGAAAATAAAGGTATAAAGTCAAAGAGTGACAATGAAAGTGGATTTCAGTTTGATTTAGATGCTAGCTTACCATCTGAGGAAGAAGTGCCTCATGATGATATGAATTATTTAGATATTCAAGATGATGTGGAAAATACAGAGAAATGTGCAGAGGTACAAAAACCAACAGAAAAAATTGTAGACTTATGTAAAGTTTTATCTAATGTTGGAGTGATTAAAACATCTGAGTATTCCTTCCTTCAGAAAAGTTTGAATATACACTGGGCTGGTCCATCTCATTGGAGAATAAGTAATTTTTCGAAACTATCTGGAAGTAAAATTATCGCCGCTTGTCCACAGAAGCCAGGTAGAAAAAGAAAAGAAATAGAAATATGTTATGACGACAGTATAAAAACAACAGTAGTACCAAAATTTGTAATAAGTAAAGTTACAAAGTTTGATGCTGCCAATTTAGAGTGGTATGAAGAAAGACGTACATTACCACGAGATATGCATTATGATATTGCAAGTGCTGCTAAATTGTACTTTCATGAATTAATACATATAAATATGAAAAAGGATCAATTAGATGCCACTCATGTATCTGATATAGAGAATTATAATTATGATAATGAAAATGATATATCAAATTATTGTCCATATGTCGCTAATGAAGACTATGCATTAAATGAAGATAATAATGATCTTGAAAATAATGACGAAGTTGAAAATGATGAAGCAGAAGCACAAATGATTTTTATTGGAGATAACTTAGTAGCTATTCCTAAATTAACAAATAAGATATCCATTGCATATAGTACACGTGCTAAAAGAATCGATATGAGACAACTAAAAAAATCCATTTGGAAAAGCCTAACTATGTGCAATGATACAGAAAATATTGAAAACCAAGAAAAAGAAAATAGAATGAAAGAAAATAGATGTTTTAGTGAGGTTTGTAAAACATTACCGAATTTATTAACAAAAGCCAATATAGAAGTCCTAAGTTTTCCTATTTCTTTTGTATCATTGCTACATTTAGCAAATGAAAAGACATTAAAAATACAGTCTGTTCCAGATATGTCTGATCTTATCATAGAAGCAAGTTAAGTACATATATACTATAATCAACAATAAAATAACAGAATAATATTAAGTTCATAATAAAATGCAAATATTATTTTATATATTGTGATGACGTTATATAAATCGTGCATTAAAACAGTTTTATTAATATCTAGTTGTGTCTAGTTCTTTCCATTATTCTTTAATTACATTAAGTACATATATATATATGAACCAAAAATTTCTAACTTTTGTAAATATAATGTGAATAAATGAAAAATATAAACAACATAGACAATATGTATATTTATTGTTTTCTTTCTATTCTAATGTCACTTTTTCGGCTCGCTCACGCACTCTATCTTTACATCTTTATGTTAGAATCAATGTACTTTTAAGTCAATAACCTAAGCATTCTCCAAATTCTATCTTTTTATCATCTTCGACAGTATTAAGAAATTATCGTCAATGATTCACATAAAAATTAATGTTTGGATATGATTGGATCAAAGCGATATCTTTTGGTATCTATGGAAAAATGCATTCCACGCCGTTTTTACCGTAACATTTCAAATATGCCGATTGACGATGAAAAATCAAAATGTGCAAAAGATAAAGGAAATAGTCAAAAATCGAAAAAAGAAGCTAATGTTAACATCAAACCTCAATTAAAAAATTATGATTCCTTTTCACCAGATCATAAAGGTGACATAAAAGTTTGCATGATTGGAGGCGGCGAGTCATTGATGTACGCTGCTGTTCTTCTAAAACAATTTCGTCTTATAAAACGAATACATGTGGTAGATACAAAAGATTCATTGGCTAATGCAATTTTAGATATTAGTCATATTGACACATCACCTCGTGTAAAATATTTTAAAAGGAAACATTTAAAAGAAGCTCTTAAAGAAGTATGTATTTATTTATTAAACAATGAAACAAAATGACCAGTACAGTCTCCAATACAACACTGACCCAACGTTGATAAAATTGATACGTAGAAATCGATATGATTTACAGATAGATATTATCGCATTGATGGATGAGACAAATGCTAATATTGATGTAAGTCCCGCAGCACAATTTGAGGCTGCATCAACATACGTGAGCGAAATGGCTGAGCAAATGGTGCAATTGAGTTCAGAATCTTTGGTAGCTGTTTTTACTCGGCCAGTAACGGCTATACTTCCCATGGTGTCAGAAATTTACAAACTTGCTGGATGGTGGGATCCAGACAGAATTATTGGTTCCACTGCACATGATCGTATGCGAATGGAGGCATTAACCGCGAATCTTCTGGATTTAAATCCTGCATTCTTATCAGTTCCAATGGTTGGCGGGGCAGATTCAAACACTATTGTTCCCCTTTTGTCGTGTGCTTCTCCAATCAATCGATTTAACAATGTATGAAAATGTAGTCATTTACATTAAACTGTTATATATATTTAGGGAGAGAATTCTTTTATGCACATTCTAACACCTTATATAAAAAATTCATGTAGGCGCAACAAGAAATGTTGTTACAATCATTACGTACCGCAGATAAAGAAATGGCAAATATTGAATTTAAAGGTCCAGTACTGTCTGATGGAGCTGCAGCTGCCAAATTAATCCTTGCGCTTGTCGAAGGACTTAGCGGTTATAAAAATGTTATTTCCTCTGCTTATGTACGATCAAATATTTTGCCGGGATGTCGCTACTTCACCAGCCAATTGCAATTCGGCCCAGGCGGCATACAAAAAAATTTTGGACTACCAAAGATGTCTGCTGCGGAAATAGTACTTGTAGAACAGGCAATCCCTTCTATCAATGAATATATCGAAATGGGATCGAAAACAGTACATAATAATAGACATATCACACTGAAAACTGTATAAATTCATCTTTTTTTTTATAAATGATTTCATCTTATATAAAAATTATACAACTCCATGGAGTTGTTATAATAATATCTTTGTTATTAAATGCAAACTAGCTTTTTTTTCAGGTAATTTAACAGGAAAGATGCCTAAATTTTTACCATTTACTCTCTACTGTTTCGTATACAATAAAAGTAATAGGAATGTATCGATTATTATGTGATCGACCATAATACCTCTGTTCTATTTATGTATGTATAATAATATCATGTTTGAAGTTTATACTGTATACATAAAAATTATACTTCAATATGTGTAGGAAAGATGAAAAATGTTAAAAAGATGCCTTAATTTTTGAGACGTCAAAAATTTGTCTCCTAAACATTGTTTCTATCTAAAAGGAACCTATTATATTTTCAATGTTTCGTCTAAATTAAAGGTCGTTCTCGGAAGAATAGCTGCAATTATTTTTACAAGTATTTATAATATTTTTAGTGATATATAATATTAACATATATTTTATTTATTTCTTTGCATTTCTTTCTTATTGATGCACAAGCCGAGTCGTTATTCTATAACATATACATACAATGTAGAGTTGTTCGTATCAGTTTGATTTGTAGTTTCAAACGGAGCGTATCTCGACTGGTGAATAGCCGATAGGAACGAACACGAAATAACAAGGAACGTAACTTAATACACATTTTAATTGAAAACAATATATTTATGCTCAATTGATTTATTCAACAGAAAGTGACAAGTGAAAAGAACATTTTTTGATATCTACTAATTTACCGATATATTATTTAAATGAACATCTTGTGCCATAAAAGTACTTTTTTATAAAGGTCATGACAAATATGTTAGAAATCATGACACTTATAAATATTGAAACTATAAACATCGAAACAAAACACAAAGTGATTTAAGTTTAAATTTGGATTGATCGGCACCAACGGTTGGTTAAGATGGAAATCTTGTTTAGATTTCTATCAAGATTTAGCGTAAGTCAGTGCATCAACTTTTTATAAGTACATACTATATTATTTTATAAGTAGTACAAATTTATGACTTAAAAGTTTATAACCTTTAATTTTTATAAAGAGGAGATTTAAGCTTTTTAACCTAATTAGAATAAGATTCATAATATTGAATGATTAATCAACATCGATTTGAAATTCATATAGAATTGTCACGCAATACGAAATTACTATACAATGACATTACATCCATATTATTTCAATTTTGTCACTGTTGAATTAAAAACAGTTGAAAAATTATATACATAGAGATATCTGTAAATATCTTTTAAATAGAAATACATGAGAACCTTTTTTATTAAAATATGGTATAAACGTATGTGTTTCATGTCACATAATAAAAACTACTATATAAAAATATGATATCATACTTCCAAACAAAAGTTTTAATTAAATATGCTATGCATGTAGTTATTTATAAAGTTTCATATTAATTATTATGCCAAGAACATCCTTGGTTCATTGTGCTGAATTCATTTCAATTCAATAATTGAAATTCATCTTTTTTAAAATATGTAAATATATATACTAAGGGAAAAAGAGAATAAATGTAATGTATATAATGTAATGCTCATAAAGTAAAATAAATACTTCTAGAAAATTGATCTCATATATAAATATGCCAATATTTGTAATATAAATTTATAATTATTAATAATAAATTATTTTTACATTTCAGAGGAAAAAAACAACAATTGAAATTTTGGAGGATCTTGATGTGGTAAAATATTTATATTCTTTTACTTGTTGATAACTATATTTATGTTGATAATTAGATAAGTAATCAAAAATTCCTTCCATAACAGAAAATTAAAGAGATGGAAAGATATGGATATAGTATAGAACAAAGACATAAAAAAGTTATTGGAATTCTGATATTATACAGTGCGATACTTTATATTATAACAGCATTCATTTTTTACTTCTATTTCTCCCCTGCATCGCTATATGATCAAATATTTTATATCATTCCACTGTTAATTTTTCCAATTTTGTAAGTATTCTAATTGTATTTATTTCCTTTACTAAATTATTCAAGAGGTATGACAAAATGTATCTCATTGTCACAGAATATTGCTTACAAAAAAGATGGTAACCTGGTATTATAAATATAAAATTTCTAAAAATCAAGATAGATTAATCTATATGCAATCTGAAAAAAAGAAAATTCTGGATGTAGTTGCAGAGATTGAAACATATAAAAAAGCTAAAGAAATTCTGTTAAAGTTTGCGCCTGATCAACTAAAAATGACTCCAGTAAGTGCATTGACTATAGTATTAATATAATTTTCTTTATTTTAACTCATTTTTCAGTTGTCTATAATATACAGGTTTATATCTCAAACAGTTAGTTATATGAAAACAGTTTGAAAAGGAAGGCAATGCATCTATTAAAAGAATCTTTCATTTTAGCCTGCAATAGAAATTCCTGAACAATCTAGTACACCACAATGTATAAAATTTGCTAGATCTCCTTTTGGGGAACTGAGGAAGCGTGTAACAATAAGTCAAAATCAAGCATTAAATGCGCAAAGCTGCGTATCTTCTAACACTGGCCCTGCCCCAGCTGGCATAACTCCTGTTCGCAATTTACCAAATACTCCTCTTCAGAGTAGTGATAAACTAGCCAATACTCCAAATCAGAATCATAGTTAGTATCCTGTGGATTACAGTTAATAACTTTTATTTTTTTATTTCATTTGTATTTTATTACCTTCTATTGTAAATTTATGAAAGCAAATTTTTCATAATAGAGTCTCCTTTATTCTGTCCATCAATCTTACCACGTCCAATATTATCGCCGCAAAGGACTAGTTTGGATCGAATAATTGATTATCTCATTGGGGATGGTCCATCTAATCGATATGCATTAATTTGTCGAGGTTGTGAGTTGCACAATGGAATGGCTCTCAAAGAGGAATTTGAATATTTTGGTAAATATTTGTTATAATCTGCCAGCAAGAATTATGTATAAAAATTTAATTATAATAATAAATATTCAAAATATATGTATTTTTATTTTGTAGGATTTAGATGTTGTTACTGCAATTTTTTGAATCCTGCAAGGAAACAGAAGCCATCTGCTCCAAAACTAGAACACAATATTACACTTAGTAATCCATCTTTAAACAATTCTGAACATTTATCAGCTAACACCAGTACAGAACTTTTGGAAGATGAACAAACTGAATCAAAGGATACATCTGATTCAGGTTTGAAAGGAAAATAAATACGTGATCTTACGAGTATACTTACTATGATCTTATTGATTTAAAAAAAATAATCTGAGTCAATTATTTTTAAATTATTTTTAAATTTAGATATGAAAGCAGTTGAAAGATCTACAGAAACGTTGAAAGAGATTGAATCTGTTACTGATACTAAATCAGAAAAAAATACATGTGGTAAGGAACTCAATAGAGTTAATAACAATTAAACATGTTTATAATTCAATATTTTTTCTAAAAAAAATAATTGCAATTATGTAGATTAACTAGATACTGCGGAATCGGAACGAAAAAAAGTACATAATCGTGAAGAAAGCATAGAAAAAATAGATATCGATGAATTTCCGATGAACCATAAAAAAAATATGTAGAAGTAATTTCCATTGTAAAACTGTTATAAAATATGCGTACTACAATATGTGTACACTATAAACATATATTATAGTTTTCATTATACTATACATGGAGATATACATACATACATATAAATGTACGGATATACATACACGTAAATATTTCCCTTTTTAATAAACTTTTTATATTCTTTTTAATATTTATTCGTGTTTAATATTCTTGAAATTATTTTCGAAATGAATTCCGTAAAACGCAATGTTTTCTCTTTGGTTTGCGTAGCCAATTGCGGGTGCTGATTTAACAAAATGTCTGCTTGCGCTTTGTGTTCTTAAAAGTACAAAATTATGCTCATACGAGTACACGTGTGAATTGGTCTCAGTTTACATGGTAAAAATAGTGCTCGGTCGTCGACGGATTATCGTTCGAGGTAAATCTAACGATTTTTTCGACATCGTTCTGTAATGATAGTAAAAGAGCGCGAATATCGAGAGACAAGTAACAAACATATCCCTTTGTGTGAATCATATCGCGTGTAATGATTTATTGTCAACGATGAATGTGCGAAATGTTTGTGCTTCGATGATTTTCACGCACGAAATTCATCGTGCTGCATAACGATATAAAACACCGTATAAAAACGCGGATAGACTGAAAATGTGTCACTCACAATTATTGGAACGCAATTAATCTTGTCACGATAGTTAAACATAAATAGCAACGGGAATTGTCGGTCGTATCTTTGCAAGTATTTTTCGACTACCTTCAGTGGGCGCCATAACAACGTCCATTTGTCTGTTACAATCATTGTGTGATAAGTGTTTATTTTCTCCATTTAATTGTTTTATATTTATTAATAACATACAATTTGTTCATCAATCTCATCGTTATTTTATCTACACTTGCGAAGTCGTTCATGTTCATTGAAAGTCATACTACAAACGAGGGTATATTAGGTGGGGCAGATTTTGTTAACCCGGTGTAATACACGTGTGGCCGACTTTTATAGAGAATGATTGTATCAATGTATAAATTATGTTAATATACAGATTCGTTCTTATCGTATAAAATTATACTTTTTACAAAAAGAGTAAATGCTGACCATATATATTTTGCAATTTGTTTCAGTTTGTAATATATAATAAAAAGTGGTAAATGTACATTATTATTTATTTAATGTAATTATTTGTTACAGATCAACAAATATGCCAGAATTAACTGAACTCGACAAAGCTGCAAGCTCAGAACCTACTAAGGTCGAAGCAGCTGCAGCAGGATCTGGAACTGATACAGATTCAGATGATACTATCCCGGAATTGGACGATGCAGGAGCTGGGGGTACTGTTGGTTTCCCAGGGACAACCGTCACTGGTCTTCCCATTGATATGGTTTCTAAAGCAAAACAAAGTCGAGGAGAGAAAAAAGCCAGGAAGCTTATGAGCAAATTGGGATTAAAGCCTGTATGTTAGATGAATGCAATATGCCATATATTTTTTTATATGAATAAATAAATACTTGAAATTGTTTTGTTCAGGTGCAAGGAGTTAACAGAGTGACTATTCGTAAATCAAAAAATATTCTCTTTGTAATCAATAAGCCAGATGTGTTAAAGAATCCAGCTTCAGATACTTACATAGTGTTTGGCGAAGCCAAGGTAAAATTCTGGAAATAACTTGAAGTAGTATGTTAGAGAAATAATATCTCAGAGAAGGTGATGATTAGTTTTGTGTTTCGCATATTATGAATTAAAGAAATGTAGAAAAAATTCCTTGGCAGACTGATACGTTTAATAATTGTATATTTTTTCAAATATTATGGTTTTTAATTATTTAACGAAATTATTTGTTTTACAGATCGAGGATCTGAGCCAACAAGCTCAAGTAGCAGCAGCTGAGAAGTTTAAGGAACCACCAGTTATTCCAGCAACTGAAGCTGGCGGTAGTACTACGGTAAGATATCGTATTTGGTTGCTATAAAAAACTCTAACGCAACATTTCATATTTGATACTAACTTTATCTTTTAACTTTGTATTTTTAAAGGTTGTTGCACCAATACAAGAAGAATCAGAAGAAGAAGTAGACGAAACGGGTGTCGAAGAAAAAGACATTGACCTAGTAATGTGTCAAGCCAATGTGTCTCGAGGGAAGGCTATTAAAGCTCTTAAAAATAATCAGAATGATATTGTCAATGCTATTATGGTAAGTTTACAAACGGAAATACAAAATTTTATAGGACATAATTATGTGATGATTTTACCAACGGTTTCGCATTTATTTTATAATCAGATTTATAATATTGTTGAAAATCTTGGCAGACTGATTAAATCTGTGTATAAAAAAAAAAAACGATTTCACCTATATCATTTAAAAACTTATACTTTGTTTTTTGTCGGTTTCAGGAATTGACAATGTGATGAAGCTACTTTGCAGTAGGGTATGCTACGTCGTAGCTATCATTGTGACATCATCTTATTTTATCACTACGTCATCAGGAAAGAACATCATCCTTTTTTTCTCTCATTACACGTTGAAAGGATTAAGCTCGAATACTAAGAGGCATGGAGACCGTGATGTTTGTCTCAAAAGAATTCACATGTATATACATAATTCATATGAAAAAAAAATAAATACACTAAGGACACTATGTTGTTTGCGTGTTATTTCACAAATTTACGATACGAAATTAAAGAAAAATCGAAGTAGACTTCGTTGACATCGTTACATAACGCTGGAATCATCGGTGCGCGAAATAATGGCGCGTGAACATTATTGATTATCAGCATTGCGATGCGGTAAGACAGTGGTGGTAATAAAGATTTATTTCTCACTTCTAACTTATCGACAGATGGTTAAATGTCAAAAAATTTCAGATTCGAGGAAATATGAATAGATGGCAGTGCATGACATTCCATGAATTACAGATATTTACAACCTTTTCAAATAATTCTTCTGATCATCTAAAATATGTATGTATATGAAAATATACAATTTTAATAATTAAATATTAAATAGCGAAACTGTGAAGAAATAGCAAAGTTAAATATATTTTACCTTATCAAAATTGCAATATCCTATTTCATATAAAAAGAAAAAGTTTTTTTCTAAAAATTTCATCAAGGGAGAATAAACGATATAAGTACACACATCGAAAGTATAACTAAGGACGTCATTTTTATTTTCTTTAAACACTTGTTTCATGTATACTCCAGTTTCATCAGTCGGAGATAAGTAATGTCGCGGATGATAGCTATTCGCGATGGCTGCGCTCGACGAAAGTTTCATAAGCCGTTTCGCGCACATGTCGCGGCGCGCATCGCATCGCCGAGGGCTGGAAAAAAGCTGCGATATTAGAGCGTGGACGTGCACCATTCTCTCTATCCGGCCGGGAATCTGCTAATATTTGAGATTTCGGTCTCGTATATGACGCTACCTACGGTGACATCTGGCACGGATCTTAAGACGCTTTATTGCCGACAAGAAGCGTTTGCAATATTGTCACGTAATAAAGGGACACCGCGAGGGAAACACCTGCGGGACACGAGTAATCGAATTTCCATTCGGTTCGCCATTGGATCTTTCCAGCGTTGCGTAAAACGGTTATAGATCGTTTTATAAGAATGATACGCCCTACCAAATGAAAAATGGCAATCCTTTAGTAATTTTGAATTTAACTTCTTGTTTTATGATATTGTGTGGAGATTTCTGATATTTGTGGACCAAAATTGAAAAATTTATCGTGTTTGTAGTATGAATTATAGGTTAAGGTTAACTAATAACATGGATTGATTGATCAAATAAAACCAATTTAGCGGATGTGAGAGATACGACAACAATAATATATGTATACTACGAACTTTGTAAGTTTTAAATGTTATTGTACACAGCGCAATTATTAATTAAAATTTAGCAGCTATCCATTTGAAAGTATACGTTTATTGGATCTGACATTACAAATATTACAAATTTTGACGTAGAATTTTCGATGTTGTCTAGTTTCCTATACTTTATGACACTTTATAACGCTAACAAAGTATAACCTTATAACACTGTGAACAGATGAAATCATTCCATGTCTCACGCGGTTACAAATTAGATTTTATAGCAGATAAATAAACATATAATATTCTACCGCAGCAAAAAAGCGAAATTCTGTAAAATTTTATGTCAATTCATGTAAATGGTGAATCTTTTTATCGCTTATTTTTTATTATATAGTCGAAGAAGCTGCGAAACAAAGTGACGGATTCGACGTTTGCGAATGGAAAGATGTGTCACAGGAAGGAATAAAAGAATAGTGAAGAAGGAAAAAGAGGATTGCGATCAAAGAGAGGAAGGGTAGAAGTGGTTGGCAGCCGATCCGTCTCCGACATGTCTGATTGTTCCCTTAACGATCGGCTGACAGCGAAGACGTATGTCGGTGCCATCAGATAATGCGACCGGCGTTGATGTGTACGCGGCCCATGGTACGCGTAAGCGTTTTGTAAACGCTTCGCACGTCTCCATGGTGGCGTTTGTTCAGCGACATCTTCATAACGTTCTGGACAAAAAGACTGTCATGTCGCGTCGCGTCGTTGCGTCATGGCCCACGAACATCGATTCAATCGATCCAAAAATTCTCGTATCTGATGTTCCACCTTTTTATCTTTTTAATTATTCAACGTTCATCATCAATATTCTTATTGAACAAATTTTTTTTAAGTTCTTTAAGATTTATTTGATCTTGGTCGAATAATATGAAATAATATGAAAATCTTTAGGTTACAGGTTCGTGTTTGACGGAAAAGAGCAATTTTGAGACACGTTTTATTCCATGCTGATGACGAGAAAAATCGAATGGTTTAACTTTTATGGAAATTTAATAAGAAGACGATTAATTAATTACGTCCTTCTAGCCTGTTTTTGATCACTTTTTTAAAAATAGGTTAAGTAAGTTATTCAAGCACCGGTATAATTGTACTTTTTTCTAACTTGTAATTTAACTTGATTTTTTAATATTTTACTTATATTATATTATTTATTTATATTATAGTATCTATTCATAGCTTATTTCATATTTTATATCTTGTTCGACCGTCCGCGGAGAGACGCGATCTCGAGGAAGCGCGTCAACAGGAGTCGTAAATTCTCGTTACGATTATACAATCGGCGCCACGAAATGATCGATCCCCTATTTCATTTAGGATAATAGAGGTGGTTAAATTGATTATAACACTGAGTTAACAAATTACAATTTACACTTTATTTCAACAACTTGTACACAAATAGGTTAAACAGATGACTGATCTAAAGTAGATATAGACAGTGAAGAGATGTTGACTGATCTGAAGATGATGAATCAGTGAAGTTCGGTGAGGATGCTGTCGCAGAGGAAAACTATTGCTGGGTGTTGGTCGCCCCACCACCGGTTGCGTGCGGGTGAAAATGACTTTCTCATTTTTTACCTGATGGAGCAATAGCCATAAGGAACCTCTTGAGTTGAAGGTGTTTTATACCAATTAACGGCCTTAACGGTAAAATTGAAAAGCTTAGGTTTATGACAGTTCCTTACGATTATTACGGTCCGACTAATTATATTTGCACAACGAGTGGCCGCGTTGACCGAGGGATGAATTCTGTTTGATGTAAAGAGTCACCGGACGTAACATATCTACTATTCTGATACTTCGTTTCGAGTATGAAGAAATTGTTTGCAATTATTTAGTGCGCTGCACAGAAACATACTTTTTACATGCCGTGATGGAACGGAAGATCGAAGTGGTACAGAAAATATTACAAAATAGAAGCAATGTATCGAGAAATATTAGTTTGTCCAAAAAGTGTCTTTCTTTTATAGACACGTCTTTTACAACGATGCATCTTTATAGAAACATGAAACCTGCTCTGTCGAATGTTGTGATCTATATCTTTATAGAACAAAATGGATCATACGTAATTCGATAAAATAATATAAAGCGGAAAATGTTGTGCATCCATTATTTCCTTATAAAATGAAAGAAACTTTTCGAACGACCTAATACATTGCCTCGTAGATTGGAAGCTAATCTTTGCAGAGCCTCGGATACTCGTAGTCTTCCAAAGCGCACAAAGATAAGCCGCGTTTCTTGTACTTCTGCAACACCACGCTGCTTTATCGCTACTATATCAAAAGAACGTTCGAATAAAATTGTCTCCTACTCGCTTGCCTCGTTAACTAAATAAAAATTCATTGGTGCTGAAACGTGATCACATATTACGAAAGGTTAAAGTTAAATCTTAAACTATCTAGAATCGTTAATCTTCAGAAATCGAATACACGTGTAATAGATGGTTGTTTTTAAAGTGGTTTCCAGTTTTTCTGGATACTAATAGGCGTTCTATTATACGATTAAGTTACCTAAATGCTGCACGCGAATTCATTTGCAATGATGCACGGTTCCAGTCGATGAACCCTTGTTGAACTTTCTGTTCGTGTACGGTGTTCACGCGCCATCGTCGTGTTTAACAAGCCGTTGACGAGTCGTATGAACACGTTTCCCTTCGACGAGCGTGCACGTGTTCCTTGGGATCCTGGTGCTGGCGTGCGAGTTTGACGCACCACTTTTAAAACGGATTGACGCGCGTCGGTTTCCCGCTAATGGCAGGGTTCGCATAAACGCACAGACACAGCGCGATAAGGCCAATTTGACGGATCGTTTCGCGTAGCCAACGAGCTGCCACCATATTGTTTGTCTGTGAATATGAGACGATATGACGAATCCAAATAGACGGCCGAGAAATGGAAAGTTAGAATTTTCTGACGGTTGTTGTCGTGTGAAGACATCGGAAATTAATCGCGCGTTATGCAATCAGATTATGTCCTTTGCGAAATGTCAAAGTACCAGAAGTATCGCGTGTTAAGGAAAAAAGTAACTGTAAAACCAGCTTAAGATTTTTCATACTCGTACAAATACAAGGTAAGGCAAGAGATAAAATCAGATTTAGCAGTATGTAAGCAAAAAACAGTTCAAATCTATAAAAATTAGCGTTACAATTTCATTCTATCGTATCCAGAGTTTGATTTTTCAACAAGAATAAATAATGTCTTCTATGTTCTTCTTTTTTATAGTGAAAACTATCTATTTTTCTGGAAGAAGGAAAGGATGTTTCAAACACGGCATATTTCGTTCCTTAAACCCTTTGCACTCCGAATTTTGTTTCAATTTCGTTAGCAGAAGCTCCCAACGCTTTTAAGTGTTTTATTTGAAATTTACTTTAACTAAAAAATAGGACAATTTAAATAAATAAGGTAAGAAAGAAATTCACTTAAATACCAGTTTTATTCACGCTATTGTTGTATTTTGTAATTTTTAAGTGTATGATATATCTTGAAACAATTTCCAGGACGCAATCCTGCTTTTTCTTCGCACGTTTCGGACTCGACAAAGGAGCTCCTGAGCTAAAAACTAATGTCGAGTCACACTCGACATAGGAGTGCAAGCGTTGATACAAAGGTAATTCGTGTTAATATGTAGAAATATATAATGCAAGGATATAAAAGATCAGAGATACAGTGTATTAATGCGATAAATAATATAAATTCTATCCGACGCTATCCGACAATCTTCCATTTATCTAACAAACTTCCATAATTTTTTCATTCAAGCACACGTGACAACAAATGCACGCACGTAGCCTAACAATCATGCACATCGGATACCCGTGAAAGTGCAAGTTACAAACTCAAAAGAAGAACGAAGAAAGTGGAACAGGGGCTCGAGCAGAGAAGAAAAGATCCATCGAGCCATGTGGCAGGCGCAAACGGTGTGAGTAATGGCGTCGACCAATCGCTTCCAGCTCTTAAAACACGAACGCACCTCTTATCCCACTCTCCCTTCCTTTTTTCTTCTTTCTCTTCCTTTTGCATCTCTTTATAGGTACGTCTTTCCTCTTTCGTTTAACCGATGAGACGCGTATAATAACGAGCGAGCTATCATCAACGGGATCATTATCATCGATCGATCCACGGCCTTCGCGTTCCCCCTTCTTCTTCACCCTCCTTTTTGTCTCTCTTTCGCTACCTTTCTTTCGTTCCTCTTTCCTTATCGTCGATACAGGATAAACGCATATGTAGAGAGGAAACAGGCGAACGGCCACGCACACACAGCATGGCAGAAGGAGTTTAATCACAAAATTATAGCGACCGCGTAACCTCGGTGTCCATGAAGACGTAATATTTTTCGGCCGGTACGAAACGATTGTTTACAGCCATCGGGTATCTTCAGCGAGGGTCTGGTGATTTCGCGGCCACGAAAAACGAACGAGCACGCGTGGCGTTGGCCGATTTTCTGCGCCCTCTTCGCTCGACCCTCTGGGCCAGATGCTCGGCGCGCTCGAATTAAGCAATGAAATTATCGTACGCGCCGCACCACGGCTTCGCTCCATATTTACTGCGCCTCGAAAACGCTCGATAAATATTAATACCGATCCCGACAGAGATTGAAACCGCCGCGAACACTTGGATCGCCTCTCGTTCCCTATTATCGTTACTGTGTGTTCGCTTCGTATCGTGTTCCTTCGCCTGTGTGTTCCTCAAGCGTGGCACGAATGCGCGTTGAAATTGATAAGCAAGAAGGAAGAAGATACCGACTGTTCTCGATTAGGGTAAGTATAGTTCTAGATATCAATATGATATGTATCAATATGATACAGTGGAATTTTGTTGTACGAGTTTTGTTTAACGGAATGCTATTTTATGTATTGTAATACTCGAGTAATTATCGTTGCGTAATCGTGCGCGTTTGTTAAGCTCTTTCATCTCTGTCTATGAGTTTTTACAAAGCCAATGATCGATATGTATGAATTGTATGCGAATGTATGTATGTATGTATTTGATGTATGAATCGTAAATGTGAGTTGAAGCTTGGACGTTCAAAATTGTTTGTGTGAATTTTCACGTAAAAATATCCACGCAATTGGCATTAGGAGCGGTTTTCTATAGAAACCTAGAAGAGAATTCAATTGTCCGCATGTTTAAACAGATTCCTTTAGGCTGAGATCACTTATCCGAACGTGAACTTGTGTGAAAGTAGCGTGGAAGATCAGTGAACTGCTACTATTCTACGAACTGTCTGTTCTTCAATGGGTTTAGATAAATGGAATACCATCTTAGCTGCAGAATATCGAACGATACTGTGATTACAATATAAACGAAGAAATAAATCATTTTAATCACTATGGTTTACACCGACGTACTAGGAACAAATGGGATTTTTAACGAAGGTTTCACGCGACTCAACTTCTTATTTAGAAACTTGCAATCCGAAATGCATTACGGTTGTGGGGTACTTAGTTTTGGACCGAGAACGTTTCGTTGCGCTTAATTCGATCGTTACACGCGAACGTTCCATTGCCGTGGTCTTAATTGCGTTATTGAATAAAGTTCTTTGTGAAAACGGGGACAACTGGCGGGTACAAGGAGGTAAGAAGCATCGGTAGGACTTCGCATAAATGGCTACCAACGATTTACTGCTAATACTTTAATCGTGCTTTCTTAATAACAAGAACATTTCAACCAGACCATTTTCAAAACCATTTTATTCAACTTTATACCATATACAAGAAAACAATATCAGAGAACGTATTTTATTTGCCAACTTCCCTTTTTAACACATTATGGTCTCTATTATAGGCATCCCAATTTTGTATTATGGTCTTTTGAATTTTCGTTTTAAAATTTCACTGTTGTTTTAGCAAGCAACGTTGTTTTAGCATGCTTATACTTAACCATTCCATACTCCATGTTATGTATATTTTTATAGATTATTAGTTAACTAAATGATAAAAGTATCTGTTTTTAATGAAACTAATTTTAAATTTTAGCGCGTTGTGTGTTCTTTGCAAAACCGCTCGAAAAAGTGTTTCTACCATCTACAATTAAGAGAAAATAATTTTTTTCGCAGTCTAAAAGAGTCTTTCAAGCGTTTTTAATTTAAAACTAACCCAGATGTAAACCATTTCTCACAAATAGGAAAAACACGATTAAGCGATTGAAATGATCCATTTTAGAACGGCTCAAAGAATACAGTAGGATTGAAAAAAGTATAGAATTAAGAATGGAAAAAATATTATATGTACTATATACATATATATAAAGCGTTTTGAAGGACAAAACAGGAGCAAAAAATATGAAAGAAGTTTCTGTATCTGTAACAACAACGTCTCAAATTGACCAATGGCTGGACTTCCGTGGATCGAACTCATCAAAAATCTGTCGGTAAGCAGCCGTTTCCTGGTGAGAAACGAGCCGCTGAAACCGCAAACGGTCGTCAGAAATATCGGTTTCCGTTCTGTGGAAGATTTCCCAAACGTTGCTTCAAGAAATATCCTGAATCCATCGGTCGACCAGCAGTAAAGCATAGAATGGGCGTGGAATTAGCGATCCGGCGCAAATGGTGGTGCTTCAATGATCCGGACGTAGCTTGCTTCTTCGACGGATTATCCCAGAAGTAGCTGTTTTCGCTGGTAATATGGCGACGTCGTGCAAGAACAATAACTTCTCCGATCAGCAGAAACCGCTCCACGCTCTCTCATCTTGATATTAACGTTGTCCAGCATCGAGAATTTCTTCTTTCGCGGTGTTTACTCCGAACTGGATGATCGATGACCCTGGAATGAAGAAAGTTGCCATGATTATTCTCTTTCGCTGTTCAGTTCCGTTCATATTATTCTGTGAATCGACGTTTCTTTCGTTTCCTTGGCTCGGGAAATCGCGTTCATTCGCGACGAAATTATAACTATAGAGAAATTATAACTATAATTATAACTATTATTCTATGATCATAGAACAACCTAAGTTCCAGTAATTTTTGGCGAGTGACCAAAGATGTGTAGGGCTTTGCATTATTATGCTGGAAAACAAGTCTTACGATTTGCCAATTCTGGCCGCTTTTCTTCAACTGCATCGCTCAGTTTGGCGAGTTGTTGAACGTATACGTTTGAATTAATCGTTTGGTTTCTTGGTAAAGGTTCAAAGTACAGAATTCCTTTATAATCCCACCAAACTGACAGCATAATCTTTTCTTGATGAATCTCAGCTTTTGGTACCGTCTGAGCTGGTTCATCTTGCATCAGCTACGATCTTTTCCCATTAACGTTGTTATAAACTATCCACTTTTGGTCGCCAGCAATCAGTCGTTTCAGGAATGGATCAATTTCGTTGCGTTCCAGAAGCGAATCGCAGCTGCTAATGCGTTGCGTCAAATGAATTTCCTTAAGCTGATGAGGGACCCATAAACCGAGTTTCTTGACATAGCCAAGCTGTTTTAATTTTTTTTCAATGCATGTATGCGATACATTGAGCTTCTCTGCAATCTCACGCGTTGTGCTACGACGATCTGAATCGATAATGGCCTTGATATGGGTCTCATCAACTTCAACTGAACGGCCAGATCGTTGAGCATTTTTCAGTGAAAAATCACCAGAACGAAATTCGGCAGACCAATTTTGACACTGCCTTTCTTTCAAGGCTTCATTCCCATATACGGCACATAACTTCTTGTGTGCCTGCGATACGTTCTTGCCTTTTCGGAAATGATACAATAAAATATGTCTGAAATGCGCGTCTCATTCTTCCATTTTTACATTGGGATAAAAACGAAACTAAATAACTAATCGATAGAAATTTTTTACTAAATTAAAGGTAGAAGTCCAAACAACAAGAAAACAATATAGATTAGGTGCTTTGAACACGTTGACATAATGTGCTAAGACCACGTATTGACATAATCCGCAATCACTTAGTTGCCTAGTAGTTGACAATTGACGTTAGAACACGATTCGATAGATGGTAGAATTGGCCCTCTCAATTTAATCCTCGAAGCGAAATGAAATTTCGTATGCATCGATCCATTTGGTTAGGAAAATTTGATATTTTTAATGCTTTTCGCTTTTTTGGTACAAGTGAGAAGTATGAGCGAATTTTAACAGTAAAGTTTCTTACTACAACGTCGTACATATATATGTTAATAATTTATATATGTATACGACGCTATAATGATCTGTTCTGTATAAGTAGGTACTTGTATCATCAAGTTGTCGTATTATTATAACGTCAAATTCGTTGTTAGGAAATCATATCCATTTTATAAAATTTGACATTTTAAAAATTTAATTCTTTTTTAATTAATTAGTACAAAGACTACCAAAATATACTATAATCGAAGATGCGAAATTTTAATTCGATGGCCAAGAACTGCAAAAATCCAGCCAAAGATCGATCGGTTAAAAAAAATCTGCCGATCGTCAAATTTGTTACGTTTACAATTTCCTTTCAGAATTAGGGCTATGGGAAAATCGGCCTGGTGTTGCTCGTCGAACAAATTCTTCGGTGTGACAAACGCCGAAGTCATAATATTTAAAGCGACGAACCGATCGAGAGACATCGGATTCGACTCGAGTTTTTGGAATGTTACCTGAGGGAAACGTGCGGTTCTTTTAACTATGCCGCGTGACGAATCGTTCTAGTATCAGTTTCCAGATTCCATACTTTCTGTGTTAAATATCGCGTGGAACTTTGGACCTGAGGTACCTGTGCACGCTCAGCACGGTTTGCAAGATTTTCTTTGAGATTAGGCGAAAAGGCGGGCTCTACGTTTGTTGTTTCGTTTCAACAGCGTCGCCTGTTGCTGCACGTGTGTAGTCGAGGATCGTAAACAAAGTGGAAAGACGAGTCGATTATCTCTGGTGAAAATATGCTTCGTAGTATTTTTCAGAGTTAATTCCTTTACTGTTGACAGCAAGTAACTGGATAAACTCGTTCGTTTCGCAATGATAAAAGACACAATGCGTTCATAAATATATGGCGAGGGAAGTGTCGAACTTTCCCGAGGGCTTCGCCGCCATTACGACGCTTGCGAAGCGGCCTCAAGCGACAGACGATAATTGTAGCACGGAAGCTTGAACGACAGTGGGAAGTGGGTTCGATATCGATGTATCAATTTGAAGTTTCACTGAAAATTTCGATTATTTTAAACACATGAGAAAACTCTAATGAAAATATTCTTCTTTCGATTTCCTGCCTATCGCTGTTGCTCTTAACTGAAAAACTTAATGAATTTTTCATTGGATGACGATAATCCTAATAGCTCTTAACTATATCTACATGAATGTAAAATAAATGTATTTTATTATCGGTCTCTGGTGACCGGAAGTATCGACGAATTAAATAATCAGTCCTCCGTGAGATCCTACAGTAACGAAATTAAAACACTCGTATAAAATAATAAGATAATTCTATAGTTTCCACAATAAAGCAGGCATTTTCCGACCGTAATCTTTCCTGGTTATAGAATAATTTCAGGTCAAACAATTCCATTCCTACGAATCTTCCCATTCAATCCTACGACGTTTTAATCCTAAATCAATAAGAAAGAGGAAAGAAACAAAGTGTTGGTTCGATTTTTGCACCTCTGCACAGTTCACTCGCCCCTCTAAAGCTGCACTTCTTACGATTTCACGAACTCACCCCTGAGAGTAGAGAAAAATCGCGATCAGGTCGAGGGAAAAAAGGCCACGCGATCCGGTGTGTTGTCCGCGCGACAGCTTTGGCCATGCGGCTGAGCGCGGCCGAAGAAGGTAATACGGTCGAGGAGCAAAAGGGCCGAAAGACATCGTCCGTCGAGTAATTACATGCCCCGGGAGAGGCCGGCAATGGGATCCGAGGAACCCGTGCGGTTAGAAGTAGGTGGTTAAGGGTTTAGGTGTGCCGCGGTCTCCGTCAAGCCGAGCGGAGGCGGAAGGGGGCAAAGGTTGTTAGAGGAAGAAGAAACAATACAGAGAGGGAGATAATAACACGAAGGAGAGAAAGAGAAGGAGAAATGGAAAGAGAAAGAGAAAGAAGAAGAGGAAGAGAAAGAGAAGCTTTACCTCTATATAGGTTGCCGTGACGTCTCCGTGGTGGGATAGTCGGCGCGAGAGCACTATATTACATCATTGGCGGCCATTTTGGACCACCCAAGTCGCTGTCAGAGCATAAAAAATATGAAGTTCTTTTAGGGCCGCCTTTTTTCCG